ACCATGTTGACCAGGATGGTCTCGATCTCTTGACCTCGTGATCCACCCGCCTCGGCCTCCCAAAGTGCTGGGATTACAGGCTTGAGCCACCGCGCCCGGCCTCCAGCTAATTTTTTGTATTTTTAGTAGAGAGGGGGTTTCACCGTGTTGACCAGGATGGTCTCGATTTCTTGACCTCGTGATCCACCCGCCTCGGCCTCCCAAAGTGCTGGGATTACAGGCTTGAGCCCGGGATTACTGTGCCCGGCCCAGAGTCTCATTCTGTTGCTCAGGCTGGCGTGCAGTGGCATAATCTCAGCTCACTGCAAGCTCCACCTCCTGAGTTCAAGCAATTCTCCTGCCTCAGTCTCCCAAATAGCTGGGACCACAGGCACCCACCACCATGCCCAGCTAATTTTTATATTTTAATAGAGACAGGGTTTCACCATGTTGGCCGGGCTGGTCTCGAACCGCTGACTTCAGGTGATCTGCCTGCCTTGGCCTCCCAAGGTGCTGAGATTACAAGCATGAGCCACTGCGCCTAGCCAAAAGAGTTAATATTTATAAAGCACTCAAAACAGTTCCTGATCCAGGGTAAGCTCTCTGTAAGTGTTTGCTCTTACTGTATTTAATGTAGATATGGTGGCGCTCCACTATATTTTCTTTTCTTTTTTTTTTGAGATGGAGTCTCACTCTGTTGCCCAGGCTAGAGTGCAGTGACTCGATCTCGGCGCTCTGCTACCTCCGCTTCCTGGGTTCAAGCGATTCTCCTGTTTCAGTCTCCCAAGTAGTTGGGACTACAGGCGTGTGCCACTATGCCTGGCTAATTTTTTGCATTTTTAATAGAGATAGGGTTTCACTGCGTCAGCCAGGATAGTCTCGATCTCCTGACCTTGTGATCCGCCCACCTCAGCCTCCCAAAGTACTGGGATTACAGGCATGAGCCATCACGCCTGGCCTTAGGCTGAGATATTTTTTAAACTTGTAGAGGAGCTGAGGGACTGCCTGTCTTCAGCCACTTCTCCTCAGCAGGGGTCTTGAATCTGAGATAGTAAGTGTGAGGTGTGGCAGTGAACATTCCCTTGTGAGGGCCTGGCCCCTTTCACTCCATGCTTTGGCTGAGAAGATCCCCAAGCTCCACCCAGAGAGCAACAACTCAACAAGCACCCCCACATGTCTAGACTGCACACCCTGTTCCCATGCAGTCCGCTCTGGCCTCTTGAGGCAGGAAGCCCTTGCTGGCTGGGATCTGTCTGGAGGCCTGGCGTGAGTACTGAGCTGTGTGCCACAAAGTTTACCACACAGACCAAACAACAAACCATTGAATCCGAAAGCACTTTTACACTGTGAAGTGCTGTGCAGAAGTGAGATACGTGAGTTAGGAGGCAGTGGTGCTGAGTTCAGAGTCCAGAGAGATGATGAGACTAGAACTTGGGCAGTACCTGCAGGGATGGAGAGGGAGCAAACAGGCAATTAACTCAGAAGGCCTAGAGTGGAA